TTATTTGAACAATAAACAATTGAATCTTGGTGGCCACACATCATTTTACTTGAATATGTTTCCTTCCAAATATCACATTCGTTTGTCATCCAAAACCTCTTGTATGGTCACGAATAACAATAATGCATATCATCTCCATCAATTTTATATGTACACAAATAATTTAATGATAATATGATTTTCATTAATAGAAACAAGACTTTATTGAATTCAAAATATCATATATATAATGAGCAATTATTTAAATTACAACAAAGATTTATCTATGATGTCCATACGATCAACATGAACCTAATGGGTCCGGTATCATAAAATCAGTACTAATATGCTCAAATGATACTCTTTGTTTCCGCACTTCTTCTTTGACAGATAAGTATTTTATCTCCATATGCTTAGAACCTTTCGAGTACTTATCATTTTTCGGGAAGAAGATAGCTGCGAAATTATCACAGTAAATTCTCAGCGGTCTAACTATAGTGTCGACAATCCTAATCCCTGAAATAAAGTTCCGCATCCATAAACTGTGAACTGTAGCTTCAAAACATGCTACAAACTCAGCTTCCATGGTGAAAGAAGCGATGAGAGACTGGTTTCCACTTCTCCATAATGAGCAACTAAAGCCAATATAATTTTTAAAGAGTCTTTCTTAGAAACAGGAGAGAAAGTCTCTTTATAGTCTGTGCATTCCTTTTGCGTATAACCTTTGGCAACTAGTCGGGCTTTATATTTTTCGATATTACCACATGAGTCAAACTTGGTCTTAAAGATCCATTTACAACCGACTTTCTTTGCACCTTCCGGTAAATCTACTAAGTCTCAAACATTATTGTCGTTCATGGATTTTAATTCTTCTTTCATGGCATCAAACCATTTTCTAGAATTACAACTATTCATGGCTTGTTGAAATGTAGATGGGTCATTATCAATGCTTAAGTCACATTCATGTTCTAGAGCATAAACCACATAATCATCTGAGATCGCAAATCTTCTTTCCCTTTCAGATCGTCTCAAGATGATCGATGGTTCATCAATCTCCTCCGGTACCGTAACTGGTTCATTAATAATGTTCTCATTATGTGAGTTTTGGACATGCTCTTGTTGTACTGGAATATCATGAGACGTTGATGTGAATTTCGGTACAAAAACAACAGAAAGGATATCCGGTGTGAAAATATTATCCTGGATCTCTTCTATGCCAACTTTTCGTTATTCATTACTCCCATTGATTTGATCATTTTCAATGAACCTTGCATTGTCCGTCTCCATAATTCTCGTATTATGGTTAAGAAAATAAAATATAAACCCTTTAGACTTTTCTGGATAACCAATGAAAAATCCACTGATTGTCCTATGATCAAGTTTCTTTTCATGTGGATTGTACACTCTTATTTCTGTTTGGCAACCCCAAATATGCAGGTGCCTTAAACTCGGTTTCCTCCCTGTCCACATTTCATAAGGTGTTTTAGGGATTGTTTTGCTAGGAACCCGATTAAGCAAATAAGTTACCATTTTTAATGCATACATCCACAATGAGAGATGTAAAGAGTTATTACTTATCAAGCTCCTAACCATGTTCATTAATGTACGATTACGCCTTTCTACCACACCATTTTGTTGCGGTGTACCGGACATTGTGTATTGTGCACAAATACCCTTACTCTCGAGGAATTTCACAAATGGACCTAGATATTGTACAGTCTCATTACCTTTCTCCATCCCACATGGAAATATCAAAAGGTCCACAGATATCAATGTGAATTAATTCTAGAAGCTGAGTACTTCTTGTGGTGCTTTCTTTACAATATGTTTTGACTGTTTTTCTTTGATGCAGTTTATACATACCACTAAGTCACTAAAATCCAAACATGGTAAAATTTCATTCTTCACCAGTCTTATTAACCTTTATTTGGATATGTGACATAATCTTTGATGTCACAATAAAGCCGAACTTTCATTATTAGGTGCACTACGTTTAACGTCCATAATATTTTCAACATTAAACAAGGATTCTGAAAACTTTCTACCAAAATTAAAACGATAAAGACCATCCATTAAAATACTGGAACCAAAAATGTGTTCATGTTTATATAATTGAAAAATACCAGAACGGACTTAACAGAAAAACCTATCAAGTCTATTTTTCAATAAAAACAAGATTTCTTGCACATTCAGGAACATAAAGACATCCTTCAAGAGCTATGTGAAAGCCAGTGTCTAAGACCAATATATAAGTCCCAATGCCTTCTATTCGTACTCTCATCTTATTCCTCATGACCACATGCCTTTCGAGCCCTTTTATGGTTTGGTTCATACTAAATCCCTATTTAATATGAGAAACGTAAGTAGTAGCACCTGAATCTAACCACCAAGTATTGTTGGGTATTTCAATAACATTCAATTCAAAGCAAACTCAAATGTTATGTTTACCTTTGCTTTCGAACCATGCCTTTCTTTTCTAACAATCTTTCTTAACGTGTCCAGTCTTCTTACAAAAAAACACTTGACTTCTTTTCGAACTTGGCTCATGTTATCTTTTATTGGAGCATTATCCTTCTTTTTTTCATTCTTTCCTGGTTTTCTTTTATTGTTGCAGGCATTAGTTTGAACTGTAAGATGGACAAAATGTTCTTTCGCCTTTTTTAATCTCCCTTCCTCCTGTATGAGCATAACCTTCAATTCCTGAAAGTTCCATTTTTTATGGTGTTATAATTTACCAGAAATGTCTCATTAATATCTATTCTCATAGTCTTCAACTTTACCGCCATATTAGACATGTTAGTCACATGGTGATGGATAGGCTGTGACTAATCAAACTTTTTCGTAGTCAGCTTGCTCACGAGACTTCCTACAATTGACTTGTCAGCCAGATCCGACTGAGAATACTCTTTAATCTTTTGCATAAATTCCTTTGCACTTTCAGTTTTAGACATCCATGGCTTAACACTTTCTACCACAGTGATTCTCATCAAATTCAAACACAATCTATTTGATCGCTCCTAGGAATCGAAGTTAATCCTGTCATTTTTTGAGCTTTTATCTGTTATGGTTATTGGCTTTTCATTTAACAATGCATGATCCATATCATTGAAACCCAAATAAAATTGGATTTGTTCAGACCAATCTGCATAGTTAAGCGCATTGAACTTGAAAAAGTTAACAAATACGCACTCTTCAACAATCCACTGATTCTATTCACTTGTAAAGATCGTGAATTACAACTCTTTTTTGTTCGAGCTTAATCCAACCCACGAACACAACTCCCCCTGAGTTTGTTCCCCTTTAAAACGTAAATTCTATCAGCAAAACGTACCCCAAGTGTTTCCACACTCCCCTGAAAGGTTCACCACAATTATGATTTTCGGGCTCCCCCTCAATGACAACTCACGTTTTCTCAAGTAACCCTCACCAGAATAAAAACTCTTAGAAACGACTAAACTCTCTCAAGCTCTCTCTCTTTTTGTGCGTACTCTCTTCATACTCCAGGCTCCTCTTTTTATAGATGTCAAGACGTGGTTTTGATCTGATTTGTTGAGATTTGATTTAATCTTCTCAAGATCCTCTTTGTGTCTATCTCTATCTCTTTTATATTTATCTCTTTCCAAATCACTTAGCTCCAAGGAGTTTGACTCGACTTCAACTTCCTCATTTGATTTTATCTCTTCATAATTTGATTTTATCTCAATAATCTTCTGGAGTCTTCAACACAAATCAAATCTTTCCTACACATTTAGTTAAACACAAATATTAACCACATCAACCCTAACAATCTCCCCCTTTTTGACTTTCTACTCATACACAAATAAACTTTAGAAAATAATCTCTGTTCGTTGCTCGGTGTACTTCACTTGTCATCAGAAGTCCTTGATCCATATATCCCCCTATGTGTATGAGTTGAAATTCAAAACATTCTAAAGCAAGTTTCATATCACACATTTACCTGAGTTCAAGCAATCAAATCATACGTTAAACTACTCAGGGTCACCTGACGCATTGTGAAGGGCCATCTTCAATACCTTCTCCCCCTTTGTGTGTGAGTAAAAACACAAAATGTCGAGTTTCTTTTTCTATAGGTTAGTTTAAGGAGAGAGAGAAAAAACAAACACAAATGTAGCACCGTTTCAAGGGAGTAACTTGCAAGATACACTTCAGATTTTTCAGCTCCCACATTCACCCACATAGCTTAACCGACTTCGCTTAACCGACTCAAGATAAACTCATCACATTTTTGCAAAAATAATAAAACCTTTTTTTAAAATAAATCAGATTTTTCAAGAGTCATCTGTCAGGGTCTTCTCACAATCTATGAAGGAGCACTCATCTATTCAGAACAAAAATATTGGGCAATTATTTGAACTTCTAGGATGTTGAAATCAAAGAGAATAGCTTACCATTTAAGTCAGAACTACTCGGTTTTCCCTTTTTCTCGTTTTTTTTCTTCGTTCCTCTCTCTTACTGTTTTTCCTTTTTCTTTTCTTTTCTTTTCTTTTTTTTTTTAAATTTGAAGAACTTATGGGGAGACAATTATATGGAAAACACGGTATACTCTTATAATTTTTACAGAGGAGTATGAAAAGATCTTTGACCTTTTCTGCCCTTAGACCATCGTTTAGGTATCTCAATTCACAACTTAGACCCGAGTCACTGTAAACACAGTCCACTCATATCAACCAAATTAGTTGACAGCGGAGTATCAATAAACTGCAATTTTTCTTATTCATCCTAGTGAGTGGTACCTACCAAAGACTTAGGGAACCCTGACTCGAGTACTCAGAAAAAATTTTATTGTTCCCCAACACCTACAGATTTCTGCAAGCGCATGAATCTATTCATGTCAAGTGGGTTTGTAAAGAGATCAACCAGTTGATGTTCTGTGGGAACATACTCAATCGCGAAGTGTTTCTTTTCAACTTGTTCCCTAAAACAATTCGTCCAATTGAATAAACCATCAACACATACGAATCCATACCTCTTTCCACTGGTGCTCTCGGTTTGTATTTCATTTATCCTCCTGTGTTGAACTCGAGTTTGTCGACATGACTTGGGTACGATTTTCTCTTCGTGAGTGAACTCTGACATTCTGTGAACAGCCCCTGACTTGTCAATGGTGGATACTTTGAAGCACTTTGGTTGATTTTTGTTCTTTTCTGTCCAGGTATAACAGTGGTTTGTTGTTCGTTTCCCTGTCAACACACACTCATCTTTTTCATTAGTCACATAGCACGCATCATGAGTGAATCTTACCTTCATACCATTGTCACAAAGTTGACTAATGCTAATCAAATTTGCCTTAAGTCCATGCACAACATTCACATTAGCGAGATTAAGCATTCCTTCAATATCGAGACAACCTTTTCCTACCATCTTTCCCTTCTTTCCATCCCCAAATGTCACGTCATCTCCTTTCTTATCACTGACAAAATTTGACAGCAACTCCTTCTTCCCTGTCATATGCCTTGAACAACCATTATCAAGGTACCATATGTTATCATGGTTACTTTGCTCAGAGATCAATGCCACATTACAGTTAAGAGCATCCTTCTTTATCCAAATCTGTTTCATAGTAAAAGGATAGTGATTATACTTACCTTTATCCCAAGTGGCTTTTAGATGATGGCAATGAACTCGAATATGACCCTTTTTACCACAGAAAAAACAGCTTCGTCTCTCTTAGTATGTTCTCCTCGACTGGAAGTCAGGTTGGTAGTGTCTTGTATGGAAATCAGGTCTAGAGTACACTGGTTGAAAGTCAGGTCTGGAGTGAGGGACCCTTCGGATTTTGTCAGGTACTTCTTCGCCCAGTATTCCTCCTGACACAAACTTACCTTGGTTCTTGCTTTGTTCGCCCACGTATCCAAGCCCTGTATGTCTAGGATCATGTCTGCCCACGCCGAGCAGATAGTCCAACTTCTCTGTTCCACTTCCAAGCATTCGTACATTCTTCTTTGTTTCTTGTAGTTGTCGTTTCAAGTGAGTGATCTCCTCTTCCTTTAGCACTATTTCGGTCTTTGCTTCTTTTAGTTGCAGCTCCAATTCCTTCTTCTCCTTGACCAGTCTCATGTTAATCTCGTAGATCTTCATTGTCTCATTATAGAGTTCATTCACATCTACCTCTTCATCATCAGATTCTTCATCTATGATCCCAATGAATGCACATAAGTTTGGTAACTCTTCTTCTTCTTTTTCTTCTTCAGATTCTGTCTCAGAGCTATCATGATTGATAATGACTTTTCCTTTTCCTTTGGATTTTCCCAAACACTCTTTTTTCGTATGACCATAGCCCTGACATTCATAGCTTTGTATCTCTTGAAGGCTCTTCAAGACAGCTTCTCTTTTGGCAACACTAGGACAATTTGCCTTCCAATGTCCTTTTCCCTTACATTCTAAACATCTGTTGGTCTCTTTTGCTTCTTGCTTTTGGGGATATGAAGCTTTTTTCTTGAAAAACTTATTGAATTTTTTCACTATAAGTGACATATCGTCTTCAGCTGTAATATGAAGCGAGTCATCTTCTGAAACGTGAAGGGCTACTACTTTTTTGCGAGGTGGCACTGACTTTTTTATAATAACATTCAACTCTAATTCATGAGCAGCAAAAATACTGACGGTTCCTTTGAAACTTACATTGTCAGTGTTGTGTACCATCTGGAATGCAACAATTTGAGATATGTATTTCTCCGGTAAGCTCATGATTAATTTGTTGACCAGTTTACTATCCTTGTACTGCTTTCCCAAAGCTGCAGCTTCATTCGCCAATGCATTGAGTTTTCCACAAAACTCCTTCACGCTTTCATCCTCATCCATCTCCAACTTATCAAACTGATGTTTGACAATGTCACGCCTTTTCCTCTTAACACTTGATGTTCCTTCATGTATCAATTCCAAGGTATCTCAAGCTTCTTTGGCGGTTTTGTACGCTTGGATCTGTTTGAATTCATCTGAATCCACATTATTGAAGATGATTGAAAGTGCTTTTGAATTTAGTGCTGAAGCTTTCTTTTCATTCACCGTCCATTGTTCGTTGGGCTTAAGCATCTCCACACCATCAATGATGACTTTTGGAATCGTCTACCCCTTCTGAACTGTGATCCAGGCATCCTCATCAATTCCTTTGATAAAGTTCATAACCTTGACCTTCCAATACCCATAGTTGTCTGCATCAAACAACAACGACCTTCCAAAGGCTTGTAACTCCTTTAGTGTCTGCATTGTGCGTATTGCTTGTCCCACACTGATATGAAATGAATAATCCTACGATCAATAACCAGACTCTGATACCAATTGAAAAAGTTAACGAATACGCACTCTTCAACAATCCACTGATTCTATTCACTTGTAAAGATCCTGAATTACAACTCTTTTTTGTTCGAGCTTAATCCAACCTACGAACACAACTCCCCCTGAGTTTGTTCCCCTTTACAACGTAAATTCTATCAGCAAAACGCACCCCAAGTGTTTCCACACTCCCCTGAAATGTTCACCACAATTATGATTTCCGGGCTCTCCCTCAGTGACAACTCACGTTTTCTCAAGTGACCCTCACCAGAATAAAAACTCTTAGAAACGACTAAACTCTCTCAAGCTCTCTCTCTCTTTTTGTGCATACTCTCTTCATGCTCCAGGCTCCTCTTTTTATAGATGTCAAGACGTAGTTTTGATCTGATTTGTTGAGATTTGATTTAATCTTCTCAAGATCCCCTTTGTGTCTATCTCTATCTCTTTTGTATTTATCTCTTTCCAAATCACTTAGCTCCAAGGAGTTTGACTCAACTTCAACTTCCTGATTTGATTTTATCTCTTCATAATTTGATTTTATCTCAATAATCTTCTGGAGTCTTCAACACAAATCAAATCTTTCCTACACTTTTAGTTAAACACAAATACTAACCACATCAACCCTAACAGAACTTAACAATTACATTGCCAAAAGCCATAAGGTTAAGTGAAGCTGAAATTTTATAAATATTTATCCATTAGTATTTCAAAAGTAACAATAATATGTACCAAAATTTACCTTTGGGCAATACATCAATACATACATACAATCATTGATGCAAAATATACTTTAATGGATATCATGAAACTACTAGTTAAATAAATATACAATCTTTGGACATACATATTTATTAACTTAAATTATGTCCCTCTAATATATTAATCATATGCATTGATCCATCTTTGGATGATCTAATAGCAATATGATAAATAATTATAATTGTTTATTTATTTATTTATTTATTTTATGTCATACATTAATATTCTTTTATTATGAACAATTAAAACATACATATTTTGTTTAAATATTTATTTTAATTTAAACTAGGTCACTTTGGTGACTAGCAATTTTGAACTGTAAAACAAATCAAAAGATTTTTGACTTCCATATAATATGTATCTACATAGTTAATTTCGTAAAGTATATAAACTATTATCCATACAAATTTTTATATGATATAATAATGCATAATATATATACTTATAGAAGATACAAAAATAATAATAATATGGGCCAATATTATTATATCATTATAATTTTTTTTAATTTATTTAAAACTATCTTTATTGTTCAAATTTAGAACCCGCATTTGATTTAATTAAAATGATCTTTACTATAATTAATATTTGCATGACATTTTATAACTTTATGTTAACTTTTCATGCACGTAAGTTTAAGTGCTCATATGTCCAATATATACATATATATATATATTACTATTATTATATAACAAATATGGATATTCATATATACTAATTTATATATATATATATATACACATACACTTTAATTTCTAATTTCTATTACTATAATCTTTGGTGATACATTTAAAAAAAAATGTATCCATATATTATACATATTAAAATTTCGAAACTGTAATCGATGAATTATGATAAAACAAAATACATGCTCTGATATCAAATGTAAATTTAATTTGATGGTTTTCGATAACTTAACTTTATAAAAACTCATCAAGTCCGGATACGGTTTTACATAATTCAAACAACTCGAAATTAGTGTATATATATATATATATCATATAAAAATTGTACATGAATCGATGTTGCAACAGAATAACTTTGAAGAACAAACTAAATAGCTTTGTTGTTTGTTTTTCTCTCCTTTCACCTTTGCTTTGATAGTTTTTTCGATGGATGAAAAATATGAACCAAATATCCATTATTTATAGGGTAAGAAGAGGAGAATAAACTTAAATACCTATGAACTTCAACACCATAATTAACTCATTTCCATCAATGAAGTCAAGATCATATTGAAGTAAAAACCCCAAAATTACATGGACCATTAAAATGTTATATTTCGAACATGGCAAGCGACTTTTACTCCGCCTCGATGCTACTCTGAGAAACCGTGGTTTGCTTTTTGGCCTTCCAAGAGATTAAGGAGTTGCCGAAAAAGATACAAAAACCGGAAGTAGAGCGTCGCGAATCCGAGCAAGAAACCCAATCTGCATCTACAAAAGCATTGAGGCAAAGTGAAGAATCAACCGAGTAAAACAAACCTTGCCCAGGATTCGTCTTCAAATAAAGAACAACACGTTGTGCAACTGCAAGATGAAGAGTGGTCGGTCGAGACAGAAATTGGCTGAGTTTACGGACGACATAAGTGATATCCGGTCTACTAATTATCAGGTACAACGACTGATCAATAAGACGACGATAACCAGTTATGTCGGAAATTAAGAAGCTCGCTAGAATCCTTAGACAATTTAACGTCGGGATCCAAAGGTGTAGAGACAAACTTGCAAGCAAGATAATCAGAGTCTATAATCAGGTCAAGGCAATACTTTCTCTGATTTACAAAAATAGCAAGCTTGGAACGAGCAACTTCCAAACCCAAAAATACCGTAATTCCCTAAAGTCCTTGATGTGGAACTTCTATTTCAGCAAGAGTTTCACATCATCAACCGCCAAAGGATCATTGCTTGCAATAACAATATCGTCAACATAATCCAACAATGCCACAAGAACGACCAGATTTTTTAACAAACAAAGTGTAGTCTGTAGTAAATTGAGTATAGCCATTCGCAAGGAGAACATTAGCAAAGGTAAAATACCATTGTCGAGACGCTTGACGATACAAGGATTTCTGTAATTTGCAAACGGCAATAGGTGGCAATAATTCATCAGGTTTTAGTGTGAAACCAGGGGGCAGAGACATATAAATCTCTCCAAGGAGTTTGACTCAACTTCAACTTCCTGATTTGATTTTATCTCTTCATAA